TGATATAATCTCCTGGCTTGTTTAATACTTTATTTACTAACTTGTATCTCTTCAAACCAACCAGTAACTTACAAGTTATACATTCTTCATACTCAGACAGCCCTGCAGGCTATCTGTCTCATGCTCCAAAACCTATACTTTTTGGTTATATGCAAATTACATTTTTTTCTTTTTTTCCTCAAAAAGACAGACCCCTGGTCATAATATATGCAACAAGTCGAACGTCATCATGTGTTAGAATTGGTATATAGCAAAGTACTGTACTGCTTTACATGCAGAAAATGGCATTGTTAAAATTCTTGTAATCTTTACATTCTTTTAAACTTCCTTTTTTTTCTCTTTCTCTCTTGCCTTATATAGACTTGTATACTTGCTACGTCACCACTTGATAAGGGTCCTAGACGGACCCAAACGCTGTCATTTTCATTTCGCCCGTGGCAGCTGGGTTATGCTATTTTACATACGTCCACGGCAATTTGAAGCCTTCTATTGAACTGGTACACTGTTGAAGTTGAATTTACTTCACAGAGATGCCAAAGGAACTAAGCAGTTGCATGCTTTAGCGGTCCGCTCCAATTTTAAGACTAGCAGGATGCTTTTTACTTTTCTTTCCAAAAGACTTTATTTTAATGCCTGAACGTAAATGTGGAAAATATTTGTACAGTATTTATTATGCAAGTGACAACCCTGGTCACGATTCATCGTTAATGGAAAGAGATTTATATCCTCAAAAGAAGAGTAATAATAGTAGAAAGGTCATCCAGCCTCTCCATAATCAGAAAATATGCAAAGCTAGAGCGATTCGGCGTTCTTTGGTTATAGCGAGGAAAATCTCCAAGCCTGAAGGTAGCTTTCGTGGAGGAGTCGACGTGGGGGTTTATAGTGCAAGATAGCTTCCTAGAGGATTTGCCCAGCCACTTGGGCTGAAAGGTAGAACGACGGTCTCGCTTTCTACAGGGCGGCGTTCAATCCCCCAACTGTCAAAGTGGTTGGGCAGCATTCCTTCCCCCCCCCCCCCCCCCGTCTCATCCCAATTCCTTATCCTGATCCCTTCCAAGTGCTATATAGCCGTAATGGCTTGGCGCTTTCCAGGAGGATTTATTAACCTGCCGATGCTACTAGTCATCCCAGCTTGGCGCTTCGTTTGATAATTACATGTTACGCTGTCAACTTTTAGGCTATCCTTAAGTGCTTTATCACAACGTTCAGATGTTAAGTCTAAAAGGTTACTGTGCCGATAAGGCTCGTCATCGGAAAAGTGATCTTCCTGATTAGGACTTGCCGGCAGAATGACTGTCGAATATATATTTCAAGTTTACGCAAATGCTGAATTTGAGTACATACACATATTCGCAAATGAGTTTGTTATAAGCTGCTAGAAAAATAATGCATCTACTCGGTAGAACGTCTACTGAGCTTGTAAACTGCTTGTAAACTGTTTAATGAATGTTACCAAAGCCGTCAAAGATTGAAGAAAGATGTACACGTTCGTAAGTACTTGCGTAAACCGCTTCATGAATCTGGCCCTAGGGGTCTGGGTGTGAACAATGAGAAGGTAACTCAGGACATGTGGGGGATAAGACACACAAGTGGACAGAAAAGCAGTGAGGGGGAATGTAAAAATTTTGACTAAAGAATATCATGGGTCGACATAAGTCAGCGTAACTACCCAACACAACTAATACATAACACGTACTACTCATAGAAGTAATTAAAACAAAATAGACGATTTAAGTGCTCTTGTGTGCACAAACTACAGTATATTGCATTAACCGAAACTTAGATGAATGTAGAAGACGGAACTAAATGAATGTAGAAGACGGAACTATGGCTGAAAATCAAATTAAGGTATTCAAATTAACGTCAGATAAGGGGGGTGGGGGGAGAATAGTATTATGTCGGAGAAAATTTAAAATGTAGTATCAAAAGGGGGAATTAAAAGTCCCACAAACTGTTTGGATAGAAATAAATGGAAAATAATTATAGCCTAATAATAGTTGTACATTGGCCACCAAATCTCGACAGAACGGAGGAAAGACATGTATTGGCAGATAGATGCTGTATACAATAGGTGACTTTAATTTGAGTAGAATGAACTAGGACTAATATAGTACATAAATCTGCTATTCTGGGCCTAGAAATATTTAACTTTTTTTAAATTTAATTTTTTCCGGACTATAAGTGAATACTGCCAAACTACCATCTTATTGTCTATTACATAGACAATATGTAATTGTCAACCAGATCAACCAGGCTGTGACTCATACGTCAGGCTGCGAGCAGCCGCGTCTAACAGCCTGGTTGATCAGTCCAGCAACCAGGAGGCCTGGTCGACGACCGGGCCGCGGGGACACTAAGCCCCGGAAGCACCTCAAGGTAGCCTCAAGGTACATCATATGTACGATGGTCCACATAGTTACAAAACGTACTAATTAAACAGGAGGATGAGTTTTCTTTTAGTACTCAAATATGCTGATCAAATAGCCAGTCGGACGATGTTTATTTGTGAGTTAATTATACGACGCGAACCTTAACCCTATGGCTGACTTGGCGCGGAGCTCTGACATGTGCTACACGATGAGGCGCAACAAATCTTTGACTTTATATTATAGAGTGAAATAGTGGTTTTAATTAAGAGACGAGAGCGGCGGTTGTGTGTAGATAGTGATGGCGCTGGTCAAGTCATGGGAAATAGAGAGTGTGTTTGTCGGTTCATGAGCAAGCAAACTATAGTAGTTTGGTGGGACACTGGGGTGGGGGTGGCACTCCGAGCCTTACACACTACACGCCCACGGTGGCTTTATTCTCTCAGCAGTAGTTAAAATTAGCTGCCTAATATGTCCGCTCGCACGCGCACCTTGACTCTATACTCCCAACACTGCATAGTCTGTTATTATAATACTTAAATGAATATTTAAGTATTATGAATACTTAAATGAGTATTTAAGTATTATGATATATTAAAAATAATTTATATTTAATACTTAAATTTATAGTACTACTTCAGTATTATTTAAGCCGGCGGACAGGAAGTTGCCGGCTTCCTGTTCTCGTAAATCAGGTATAAGACCGCTGCTTCAGACACTCTGATTGGCATTCTAAATATGCGTGTTAGTGGTTTTTCCAAGACTGTTCCACTTAATCACCAGCATAGACATGTTCACTACCCATGATATCTTAATGTATTTACAGTATATAATACATATGTATGAAGATCATTACATTATTTTGTAATAATCTCCCATCTCTTGAAGCCCATATATTGATGTGGGCTTCAGGAGACAGGTTCGGTGTAATATCAACTCCTAGATCCTTCTCTGCCTTTACATTTACTTGAGTTGAACTTTAGTAGGCATTTGTTGGACCATTTCTTCAGTTTGTTTAGGTCATCTTATAGCCTCTTGCTATCTTCCTGTTTTAATCGTCCTTATAATTTGTGCATCATCAGCAAACATTGGGAAGACACGGTCAATTCCCTGTGGGAGATCCCTCTGGGAGATCGTTTACATAAACAGTAATGTATAATATATACATTATACCATACAGTATAATGTATATTATTAATATATATATATATATATATATATAATTTATATATATATATAATTTATATAATATGTATTGTGTGGCGTTCTTAGTTGTATATTTGCTTGGGGACCATTCAAGCTTGTTCGCATTTGTGTTGCTCACGTGGCCCCATAAAGTGAGGTGATTCAATGAAATAACTATGCCCAAGTTTACCACCAAGTGCCGTCAAGACGTTAGGGATATAGCCTTGATGATGATGAAGATTAAGCCACCCAAGAGGTGGCACGGGCATGAATAGCCCGTAAGTGGTGGCCCTTTTGAGCCATTACCAGTATCAAAAGATGATACTGGAGATCTGTGGAGGCGCAACTGCACCCTGCGTGACGGGAGATGTCTCCCGGACCAAATGGTGACCAAATGGTCGATATAGCCTTGGCTACCAATGTCTTTTGTACCCCTCCACACCCACCCAATAGGTGGGGTTAAAGGGTGCACCCCACACCTGTTTGGTGGGTAGTGGCGGTGTGCCCCACACCTGTCCCATCCATATTACAGTATACCTATCCATTTTTAAATTTAGACAGGTTTCACTGGATATGGCTGCATATTCCGTGTTGATTATTTTCTTGTTTAGGGCTTCTATCCCTTTGACTAAACAGTAAGATGCTCTTGCATCTTTGTTTAATTGGAAGAGGATTTGTAATGTCATAATTGTTCAAGGGATATTATTTGATAAAGCCCTAAACAGGAAAATAATCAACATAGAATATGCAATCATATTCAATGAAATATGTCTAAATGAAAACTTGCTGCCAGTATACACCATATTTTAATATGCATGTACAGGAAGGGTGGCAAAGTATGCAAGTATTTATAAAACACAGAAATCACATTAACGTGATATATATGCAAAAATCCACTGGAATTATAGGTGGGTGAGAACCTACAACCCTGGCATTGCCAAGCCACATACTCTACCACTAAACCACCGTTACTTGTAAAAGACATACAACCGGAGTGCTACCGAAATCACAGGAAGTTTGGAGGCCCCCCTACTGACGCCAGTTAAAGTGTTTACGTATAACCCACAAGCACTCGGGTGGAAGAGCAAAGTGATCCTACACCTTACATCCCAACTTCAGAAACACACAGGAAAAAAACTTGGTTTTCTAACTGTAAAAGTCTGTGGTGGCTTAGTGGTAGAGGAAGCGACTGGCAATGTCGGGATCGTAGATTTACACCAACCTAAGTATTTATATTACTGTGTTCTCTGTATGCAAGAGATCCCTCACACAGGAACCAGGGACGCTAGGAATTTAATAAGTTACAAGTTTTCACATCAGGGCATATGTATTATTTATTCTTTCTATGTATTATCTTTCTATATTCATCATACAGTATTTTATATCAAAAGATATGTACTGTAAATTAAAAAAAAAATTGGGTATTAGCTAGTGCTTTTCTTCTTTCAGCAAAGGTTAATGATTGTGAAGCTGGGGATGGCTTTGAAAAGGCAGAGACAGAGACACAAGAAAAGTCAGGGGGAAACACTGATTGTAAAATTGTAGCAAAGTGTGATGATGATGAGGATGATGATGATAAGGTTCAAGATGATAAAGAAAAGGATGACAAAAACAAGGAAGAAAAGGATGGCTCTTTATCACAAGAATATGGGTTTACAGTCAAGATTCGGCCCCCTACTGGAGATCAATTTGAAATCCAGGTAGGTAAAACTTGTGCGAGTTTGCCAGTCTGTGATTTCTGTAACATTTTTACTATAATTCTTTTGCAATGGAAGGCATTCTTACACAAGTGGACTTCACTGTATCTAAAAAGTGACTGTTGTGCTTAAAATAGTTTAGCAATATCATGATGCTGAATTGACTTGTTTAATTTATTAAACAGGTGAGCAGCATGGAACTGGTGTATGAGATCCACCAGCTCCTGATGGATCGTGAGGATACCTGCCACCGCACCTGCTTCTCACTGCATTTAAATGGCCAAACTCTGGATAACTTTGCTGAGCTAAAAAATGTTGAGGGTCTTAAGGTAAATAGCTTAAATGACGTAGTGTATCACAATTATACATCATAACTGTTAAATACTGTAATGCATGTTTATAATGTTTTGACAGCTTTCCATATGAAATGTCTATTGGTACCATCATTGCATAAAATATTCATAGATTTTTTTAATGTAGGCTTAAATTTGGATTGTTGCATGTGCATTGTGTTCAAATCTTACACTGGGTAATCACACGCTTTCATTAGCGTGCTCGCAAGCCATTGAAATGATTGATTTTCCATAATTTTGCTTTATTTTGTGTTGGGTTATATATTGGCTTAAATGTCATACTGTATATCTAATGTATATGTTAAATGTAATAAAACTCCCTTTTCTGGTCGTCTCTTGATAGCTCCCCAAGTGTAGTGCTGGTACAGTCATGCTTTTGGAAGATGCACTATTCCTCAAACCCACCTGTAATAGGGAAGGTGACCCTACTGTTCTGGGGGAACAGACCCAGATGTAATAGGGAAGAATGTACACCTTATTTCTAGTCAGAACCAGAATCTGACTTTCTGTGAGAGGAGGGGACTTTAAAGATCATAGATCAATCCAAAACAAAAAAGTCTCACAAGATATCACAAGTACTGTACAACAAAGCAAGCATTTGCTTAAAGAAATTAATAAGTACCCCAGAGATAAACACTAGTGGTGTGCTCATCCAAGTCCTCCAGAACTCTAGTCAGCCTGTCTCTTCATTCGCAAGCCACCTAAACCAAACCCTTCCAACCACATGAACAAGAAGGGAACAGGGAAGCTACTGAAATGTCAAGGAAACCAGCCAAAGCAACATGCAAATAACCAGCATAGAACATCAGTTGCTAGAGTTCAGCTTGACCTACCGGAGACCAGAGTCAGAGCCTGGTTTCCTCATGGAGGTGCAGTGAGCAAATGACGTTCTGCCATTTCACTGGGAAAGCATCCAGAAAGTCAGCTAAGCTCGAGTGATACAGTTGACGGACAATCATCTTGGCGATCATTTTGCTTATTTCTGTGTCTGTTGTCTTTCTCCAGTTTTTGTCTTTTCTTTGTTATTGATGGTTGCTTTGGCTAGGGCTGCATCATTTGTTGTCCAGTGGTGGCAGTTTGTTACTGCCTGCATTCCTCCAGCTACACTCAGACACACAGAAGTATCAAGAGACGAAGTGAAAAATGCTCAAGTAAGAACAAAGCAGTTGGCCCAGATGGAGTTTCACCATGGGTTCTGAGAGAATGTACACCTGAGCTCAGCATTCCATTTCAACTGATTTTTCAGGCATCCCTGTGTACAGAAGTTGTAGCAGATGTGAGGGAAAAAGGCTAACATAGTTCCAATCTACAAAAGTGGCAGCAGGCCCCCTCAATTATAGCCCTATGACATTGACAAGTGTTATAGTCAAACTATGGGAAAAATAATTAAAACTAAATGGGTAGAACACCTAGAGAAAACTATATAATATTAGACAGTCAGTATGGTTTTCGATCTGGAAGATCCTGTGTAATGAATTTACTCAATTTCTATGATCGAGCCACAGAGATTTTACAGGAAAGAGATGATTGGGTTGACTGCATCTATCTAGACCTAAAAACGGCTTTCGACAGAGTTTCACGTAAGAGGTTGTTCTGGAAACTGGAAAATATTGAGGGGGTGAGAGGTGAGCTTCTAACATGGATGAAACATTTTTTGATAGAAAAAGGAGGGCAGTAATCGGAGGCAATGTATCGGACTGGAGAAATGTCACAAGTGGAGTACCACAGGGTTCAGTTCTTGCACCAGTAATGTTTATTTCTATATAAACGATCTACCAGATGGAATACAGAATTATATGAACATGTTTGCTGATGATGCTAAGATAATAGGGAAGATAAGAAACTTAGATGCTTGTCATGCCCTTAAAGAAGACCTGGACAAAATAAGTATATGGAGCATCACTTGGCATATGGAATTTAATGTGCATAAATGCCATGTTATGGAATGTGGAATAGGAGAACATAGGCCCCACACAACCTATAAATTGTGAGAAATCTTTAAAGACTTGTGATAAAGAAAGAGATCTAGGGGTGTTTTTAGATAGAAAACTATCACTTAAGGATCACATAAAGAACATTGTGCAAGGAGCCTATGTTACACTTTCTAACTTCAGAATTGCTTTTAAATATATGGATGGCGAAATACTAAAGAAATTGTTTATGACTTTAGTTAGACCAAAATTGGAATGTGCAGTGGTAGTATGGTGCCCGTATCTTAAGAAGCACATCAAATGTTCCGGGTTCGATCCCCAGTGGAGGCAGAAACAAATGGGAAGAGTTTCTTTCAGCCTGATGGCCCTGTTCACCTAGCAGTAAATGGGCACCTGGGAGTTAGAAAGCTGCTACGGGCTGCTTCCTGGGGATGTGTAACAAAAAAAGGAGGCCTGGTCCAGGATCAGGCCGCGGGGACGCTAAGCCCCGAAATCATCTCAAGATAACCTCAAGATATCCAGCAGAAGATAAGCTGTGATTACCAAACCACACATCAGAAGATGGAGAAATGATGTTTCGGTCTGTTCTTGGCCAATATTAGGTCGTGTGTGATGTCTTGATAATGGTAAAGTCGTCACACACACCTGCCTTGATAGTGTTCCAATACGAACATAATACTCATATCTTTATCTTCTGATGTGTAGTTTGGTCATCATATCTTCAGCCACATTATTGTGACTCATCATCTGCAGTAGATAAGCTACTTTAAATTAAGGAAGTGTTTGCTCTGTATACAGTTCAGTATAGCATTTACATGCATTATATTGATTCATTATGGTACTGTAAACCAAGTGCTTATAGTATTGAATCGTTGTATACATTTGGGTGCATTAAAGGGTTATTTAAGGGAAGTATATATCTGGCATGATGTAAAGTACAGTGCAGTGCAACCTCATTTCAGTGAATCCCTGGTTGCAACTTGCAATTTTCAGGCTGGATTTACTCGCCCACTTTACCACATGCACATTTGATTTGTGCTTTGCCAAAATGTGAAGATGCTCAGGTTTGCTTAGGAAGCATGGCCTGAATTCACAGACCTGTGGGAAAGTTGCCCATAATATGATTGACATTAAAATTTGGTTAGATGAAATTTGCCCATAGAGTATGGGAAATATTAATGTACGAGTGGCAATTCTGAATGTAGTTCTAATCATTTTTTTTTAATATTTGTAGAAGGAAGCAACAGTAGAAGAAACAATGTATATTTCTTGTACATTTTGTAAATGTCTCACAGATGACCCCTGAAGGCATTTTCTAGTTGCAACGAATCCCTCACTCAAATGAATAAGAGTTGGTCCCATATAGTTAACTGAATCGAGGTTACACTGTGCACATAAGGAAACCTCAATTTTTTTAAAGAAAAGATATGATGAAAGTTTTCTTTTGTAATACTTCATGCTTTATAACATTACTTTGCATTTCAGGAAGGGTCAGTGATAAAGGTTCAAGAAGATCCTTACACAGTAAGAGAGGCCAGAATTCACGTTCGTCATGTACGAGATTTACTGAAGTCTTTGGATCCCATAGATGCCTACAATGGTGTCGACTGTGCCTCTTTAGCTTTTCTTAATGCTGTCACTCAGGGAGATATTTTGGGTGAGTCTGTTATAAATTATAGTACAGTACATAAAGGACAAAGGGGATAATGTTTAACCAAAAGAGTATAACTTTGTAATGAATTTGATAGTTTCCTGGTGATTTGGGTATGTGAGGGCTAAATTAGTGATTGGTCAGTGTATAATCCTGGCTTGCCAAGGCTAGGATTTTTCTTCTTACCAAGGCTTCCAATGCTCCAACCTCTTTCCTAACCTAGCTACTACATTTTAGTTTTGCCACCACATATTCCTTTTGTCAGTCATGTATCTGAAGTATTTAAACTTTTCAGTTAATTCTAGATGTCTGTCTTTTCAGAAAAAAAGAAAACTCCAGTAGAATCGGTGGACTGTACGCCGCCAAAATATATCTTGCCAGGCTGCAAAGATCATCCCCTCACCCCTCTGCAACCTTTTGCTAAGGAACAGAAAACTCCACAGTGCCTGAAGGTAAAGAAGAGTATGCATGTACAAGTTATTCATCACTGAGTGGGAGAGGCAACATATAGTTCAGAGGTCCACAGGAGTTTACCTGTGGACTATCCTCTGTTCCTAATAAAGAAATTGGTTTGATAAACAATGTTAACCATGAGCCAAAAGGTTTTCAGGATAGGATGACTGGCCATACTGGACATTCCCTTTCTACTCTGAGATTGGTTCCTTGGTTACGTCTGAGACTGAGTGGCAATGGCTCTGGCACTAAGAATAATTATATGGTAAAAAAAGATATCTGAAAAAGAGTGATTTAAGACTAGTTGAGCATCTTTTTCTTGTGCCTGGGTTATTTTGGAGCTTTATCTGGTTTTAGAAAAATATTTTTGGAGTCTCACTAATGCATTTGTGAATAGCACTCGCTTTTATCACACTGTTTTGTTTATAATCCGGTCCATTTTGCAGGTACTTACAATGAGTGGGTGGAACCCTCCTCCTGGCCCTCGTAAACTGCATGGTGATCTCCTTTACCTGTATGTGGTAACATTAGAAGGAAAACATTTTCACATTACTGGTTCCACATGGGGATTTTACCTAAATCAGTAAGTGTAATTTTGATTTTGATTTTTCTTCTGCCACATGTAGTAGTATTTCTTCAAATGAAGTGTATAGTGGTACACTTGTACTGGAAAGACCCAGTACAAGTGTATTAAAACCAAATTTTCTGATGCAGACTACATACTTTCTCAAGGTGCTTTAAACTGTTCAGAACAAGATTGTAGGAGGTTGCATTTATATGTCTGGTATCTATCACTAAACGTCGTCTATGATTACGCTACCCAGGGACTTGCCAAGGGATGCTGCAGTTTCAGATGACTGCTCAATTGTCTTGGTTTCTGGGAACTGTAGGCAGGGCTCTGTGGAAATGGTATCCCTGCTCTGAACACCACAAGGTCTGTGCTTGTATGAATTAATGAGATTAATTTAGCTTCATTAAGAATAGTTTTATAGTTAATCAGATCTACTTTAAATAACTATTTACTGCCCTTTAGCGTGTCTTTAGAATCTCTAATTACTTCCTTCTATTAAGCATCTGTAATATTTTAGCAGTTACGTACAATTCTACTATTGAAATAACTTGCTACAATGCTGTAGTGCTTGAGTGAAGGTGAAGGAAAGATCCAATATATACAGTGTGTGTAAATGTATTAAAAACCAAAATTTTCATATGTAACTTACATCCTTTCTCAAGGTACTGTATGCAATGTTCTGCCAAGCATTATAAACTGGGTCTTTCCATCACCTTCACTCTACTATTATTAAAATGCCAACAATGGTTAGCAATGTTATTATTCCTATCAAATTAATTTTGTAACTGTAATTAGTGTTCAACTTTTTTTTTTTTCCCCTCTTCAATAAACCATGATCAGTCTCTATTTTATTATATAAATTTATCAAATTACAAACTGTTATCAGGATGGCGCTGTGCCTAAAATTAGGGACGTGCATAGTATATCGTGACATTTTTCATAGTCTGCTGGTAGTGTGTGGGGACATTATGCTTCCTTTGGATTTCATTATCACACCCACCTTTGTGGCTTAGTGGTTTGTAATTGTGGAAGAAAATGTATGTAGGTATATATAAAGTGTGTGTATAGTATAATAACACCAAAAATTGAATATTTTGTTCTAAGCCAATAATGTAGTAAGCATGATAGTGAATGCCCAAATATATTTGGGCATTTCGATGTTCTGCAGATTTTATTATATAAATTTCTCAAGACACACACACTATTGAATTATATTAATGTAGAAAAACAGAAAATACTAATCAGAAACATTGGAATACAGGTAAATATTTACAAAATATATTCACATAAACTCAAGAGCCTGGCTCAGGGCCAGCATTACAGGATGAGAGCTGTGCTGGTGGTGTCCCAGTCTTCCCAGCACTGTCATATAATGCTTTGAAACTACTGGGGGAACTGGTGGTTACCTTACCTTGAGGTTACCTTGAGGTGTTTCCGGGGCTCAGCGTCCCCGCGGCCCGGTCGTCAACCAGGCCACCACCAGGTGGTGGGGAAGTGAAGCTATGTAACTACTGGGGTCTCATTCTCTCCTTTGTTTATTCCTTCCTGTCAGTTTTATCTTTCTTACCTTTCTGGTGGCTATTTCCTCAGAGTGATCTAATACCTGCTTTCTGCACCTTTTTGAGAGGCACATTTAAGCATTTGATCTCCAATAGGTAGTTAATGACTCATAAGGGCTTGGTGTGATTTAATAGATGTGGAACTATGAGTGGCTAGCAACAAGGACCCAACAACCTTTGACTCGCCAGAAAGAGGCATTTCATTACATTCAATGCTGGGATTGTAGTGAATGTTTACAGTTTTTATACTTTTTTGTAGTTTTTTCTCTATAGACCTAAGAATTTTTCTGTTGGTATGCACTCATTTTGGGTATTGCTTAGTTTTTTATTTACTGATTGGAATTTTCTCTAATTTTTATTAAGCCATAACTATACTGTACCTTTTCCATGTATGTTTCAGAATAACAGAGGAGGAGTTCAACCCCAAACCAGCAAACCCTTGCTATCTGTGCCACTCGCTCATTGATCTTCTCAGCTTGTTGTCTAATGCTTTTAAGCGCAATTTTTCAAACTTGCAAAAAAAGCGAACATCCAGACATCCCTTTGAGAGAGTGCCTACCTCTTACCAAGTATATTCATGGGTATCTCCTTCCTTGGATCATGGTATTGATGCTCTTCGGGCAGAAGATGCTTTCAGTAGCAAGTTGGGTTATGAGGAGCACATCCCTGGTCAGACAAGAGATTGGAACGAAGAGCTGCAGACAACCAGGGAACTTGCTCGTCGCACACTACCAGAGCGTCTGTTGAGGGAACGGGCCATCTTCAAGGTACACAGCGACTTCGTTGCAGCAGCAACAAGAGGTGCCATGGCTGTTATCGATGGCAATGTGATGGCCATTAATCCAGGGGAAGATCCCAAGATGCAGATGTATATATGGAACAATATTTTTTTCAGTCTTGGTTTTGATGTTAGAGATCACTATAAAGAAGTGGGTGGAGATGCAGCAGCTCATGTGGCACCACGCAATGATTTGCAAGGTGTGCGTGTCTATAGTGCAGCCGATTTAGAAGGCCTGTACACCTTGGGGACGGTTGTTGTAGATTACCGTGGATATCGTGTAACTGCTCAGTCCATCATCCCTGGCATTCTTGAGCGTGAACAAGAACAGTCTGTTGTTTATGGCTCGATTGATTTTGGCAAAACTGTAGTTACTCATCCAAAGTATATGGACTTGCTGCAGAAAGCTGGTCAGCAGTTGAAGATACTTCCACATAAAGTTCTGAATGAAAAGGGTGAAGAGATTGAGCTGTGCTCATCGGTAGAATGCAAGGGAATCATTGGCAATGATAGTCGTCACTACATCCTTGACCTTTTACGCACGTTCCCTCCAGACGTTAATTTCTTGGTTTCGGATGATATTAATTTAAGTGCAGCTTCACGAGAAATGGGTTTCCCTATTGCTCACAAGCACAAGTTAGCTACCCTGAGGCAGGAATTAGTTGATGCCTTTGTGGATAATCGCTATGTGATGTTCCTGAAGTTTGCTGCACTTCACCTTCAGCAACTTAGTAATAAGAAGAAAGAGGCCAACAGACTTGCTGCAGTTAAAGAAAAGGAAGAAAATGAAAAAGAGAAGGAAAAAGAAGAAAATGATAAAGGTAAAGATAACAAAGACATAGAGGCTGAGGAAGCAAAGAAAATCGTTGAGAATGTGACCGAGAGCATTGCTGCCGAGAAACAGGTAGAGGAAAATACAAAGGATATTATTAAAAAAGCTGCTGCAGCTGTAGGATCCTTGAAAGAGGCTGACTTTGAAGTGAAATTTAATTTGGATGCTTTTTCTCCAGGGATTTTGCATGTTGATCCTCAAGGTGAAATGCTGAAGAAAGAAAGACAATTGATATGCGATGCTGCAGGATTTTTAGTGAGTGTGCAGTTGCCCAGCCTCGTCCATGATCTAAAGGACCATACTTCGGCTCCTACTGATGGCACTACTTTATGTGAGGCCCTACATACACGAGGTGTAAACATCCGATACTTGGGGAAAGTTGCTGATCTCCTGGCCAAAGTTCCTGGGTTGGATTATGTATATACCATTGCTGTAGGGGAACTCATTGCGCGGTCTGTCAAACATATTTTTACAAATTACCTTCAGTGTGTTGAAACTATTTGTTTATCATCTGCTGTTGCCCACTTTCTTAATTGTTATCTCTCATCTTGTATCAGTCCACACGCATCTAACAAAAATGATGAGCTTCTCTCAAAGAAGAAAAGAAAGAAACACCCATTTAATAACAACAGCACCTCACAATGGGCAGCGTATTCGCCAAAATCCCTCTGGACTCGCATTAAATTGGAACTGAAAGAATATTATGATTGGACCTTGGAAACTGACACAGTAGATAGCACGATTCAGAAGTACGGACTTCAGAAAATTGCTCTTATGAGAACTTTTTGTATGAAATCAGGTGTTCAAATACTACTTCGTGATTACAACTTTGACACCAAATCTCAAGAAAGTTTCCATGAGCAAGACATTGTAAACTTATTTCCAATTGTAAAGCATATCAATCCCCGAGCTACTGATGCTTTCAACTTGTATACAGCTGGTCAGAGCAAGACGCAACAAGGATTCTTGAAAGATGGTTATGACCTCATCAATGAAGCTTTGAACCTCTTAAATAACGTGTATGGAGCTATGCATCCAGAAATAGCACAGTGCCTTCGTATGTTAGCTCGCTTAAATTATATCATGGGTGAATATGTGGAGGCCATGTCTTTCCAACAGAAAGCAGTACTTATGAGTGAGAGGGTGAATGGCATAGATCATCCATACACCATCACAGAATATTCCCATCTGGCACTGTATTGCTTTGCCAACCAACAGGTGAGTGTAGCTCTAAAACTGTTGTACCGCGCTCGCTATCTGCTCTTGTTAATCCACGGTGAAGTTCACCCAGAAATGGCATTGATTGATTCTAATATTGGCTTGATTCTCCATGCTGTAGGCCAATATAATCTCTCTCTCCAGTTCTTGGAAAAGTCTCTGGAACTCTCTATCAAATTTTACGGTGAAAGAAGTTTAAAAGTTGCTCTCGGTTACCACCTTGTTGCACGGACACAAAGTTGCATGGGCGATTTCAGAGGTGCTCTAAAAAATGAAAAGGAGACTTTCACCATATACAAGACTGAACTTGGACCAGAGCACGAGAAGACAAAAGAAGCGGACGAGTGTTTGCGTCACCTGACTCAGCAGGCAGTTGTCATGGCAAAAAAAATTAGTGAAGCATTTAATGGTCGCAGTACTCTTGGTCTCCCACCAATTCAGATTCAACCACCCTCCATGAGCAGTGTGTTAGAACTTCTCAATATCATCAATGGTATTCTCTATGTTCAGATCACTCCTGAAGAAATTGAGCGTGTACGTGCAGAGTTGGAGAAGGGTCAAGCAAAAGCATTGAAAGAAAAAAATACGACTGAAACTCTATGTGGAAATGACAAAAATGGGGAAAGTGATGGAAAATGTGAAGAGAGTGATACAAAAAGTGAAGAGAGTGACACAAAGAGTGAGAAATGTGCAACAAAGGATGAGAAGAAATGTGAGGAGAGGGAGACAAAGAGTGAAGAAAGTGATGCCAGAAGTGAAGAAGATGAAAGTGTGAAGGCAAATGAGGAAGTTGATGTAAAAAGCGAAGAGGAGGAAGAAGCGGCAAGCAGGTGAAAATTAAATGTAATAAATTTGTTTATCAAGTTATTATTCACTCTTTGAATTATGCATAATTTTACTGTTGAAAAAGAGGGCTGCAAAAGCACAATTTGGTTGAATTAACTAGCTCAAAAACAATGACCTCTTGTACACACAGCTGCTTCATGCAACGTACCAATGCCTCATGACAGTTCCTTAGTGTGTGGAGGTAGGCTGTGATTGAATTCACAGCAGAACAGACGGTTCACGTCAAACGTAGTCAAATGTTGTAGTTCATATATTAAGTTTTTATTTTGTATGAAGCCTAGTTTTGTATACATACTTAGCTGCAATTGATGTAATATAGTAGTATTGGTACTTTATGGTCTTGTTTGGTCGAGATGATAGAAATGGGTGACATTCCACTGTACAGTATGAGCCAGTATATGCAAGATATTGGACAGGTGTTTGGGTATGCCTACATTGCCTGTTCAACATCATGCAATATTTATGAAACTCAGATATGTTTTCATTCTTTTATACAACCATTTTGTCATTAAACCCATTGTTACTTTTGTTGAGGATAGCTTTTTATATTTGGTCTACACGGGTTGTTAGAAGTTCGCAGTTTTCACACATTTAAATATATTATTAAATTTCTAAATTGTTTAGTTTTGCATTGTAAATGTTTTCTTTATGCAAAACACTTTCAAATACTTTCCTCCTTAACCATGTAAGTCATTGGTACCGACTTTCAGGCATTGTGGTTGAAGGTCTCGATGTTTCTCTGGTGCTAAAACTGAATTATTTTTTAATGAAATGTTTGTGCAATAATTTGTCCTTAAAATGACTGGCATGTAATTATTGTAAATAATTTAGCTGGCTTTTGACTGAAAATTTTATTAAAGAAGTTAAATGAGAGTAACTAGTGTGACTGCTAATCTCCACTGTTAAGCACAACCCATGGCTACTGTGTTTTGTATATCAAAGTGGTAATATTCAGTTATAAAAAAAATTTAGTACAAATTGAGTGCTTCATAAGAGTTTGTTAGTGGTATTAAGAGCAGGGTGCAGCATGTTGAGGATTCTTGTACAAGAACTTTCAGAATGTTTTGGCCAAACTGGTGAAACCACTGGAAGGATGTTCTGGTCTTGTCTGTAGACCTGAAGAGTTTGAACTTATCATTGCAGATATAATCACTGCTTTGTTGGGTCATGTCTAACTGCATTTAATCAAAAATTGTAATTGTTTTTTTTTTACATAATAAATTTGTATATATATGTGTACATACACTTGCCTTAAATTCTCATTTAAAGTGAGGTTGGTAAGTGAGGGTAAAGACAAGGTGAAGGGTCCTTAATTTCCTGCAGCTTTTAGAGTGCCTTGTTGTATTTTGAGTTGCAGGAAAATTGTGCTTAAAGCAGTGAATTATCACTTTAAGCTTCCTTTCTAAAAATTGATTAAGCTGTACGATAATGTTGTATAAAGAGCTTCGTGCTCCTGTAATAAAGAACTGTAGATAATAAACATTGTTAATAGCCATATTTTGCAATCTACCTTACAATATAACTAAGACCAAGATTTTTAAGAAAAAGTTTTCTTCACAGCTTGTGGATTTATTAGGTTGTAGAAATTAGTTGAACTTTCCCGAAAAAGTTTTGAATTGGTCAAAAATGCATCATTATATCTTTGCAAAATCAATTTGTAAATTCTAGAGTGATAATTTTAATATAATGACATATAGCATGTTAAAATATAATATAAATGCATATAATAAAAAATGTAAATTGCTACTTCTTTCCCCCTTTTTTTTTAATAGCTATATTTTTTAAAATGTTCCTCCCTTAAAGGGTGCTGCTGTCTTGACTTGGTTGAGGGGGGGCTCATGTGCACTGCCCACAGGTAGGTGTGGGGGGGTGGCTCCTGTTTCCTTCTGCCTGCCGTGACGGTGCACAAGCAAATTATACCCCATGTATTCCCCATGCACTTAGATCTATGTATTCCCCACTGTTCCCTGGTGTGATGTCGAGCCTATCCAGCAGCTGCCGCCCGTGGGAGAGCAACACACGTCTTTGGTGGGAGATGGGTTACAACAGGGAGATTGCCAATAGCAGACTATTGATACTCTGAACTAATAAGATTATGATGTTTTTGGCAATTGTAATGCATATATGAGCATTTGTACCTGAATGGAAGAATTGTTAGTGGTTGTTGAAGCCATCTGAGAGTGTTTGTGCCTGTCTAGGCATTTGGTTGTTGTTGGTTAGATTTTTTATGTAATATTCGAACTAGTAGGTTTGTGAATGCTGTCAGTGTTAGATAACTGGCTGTTTTTGGAAGCTTGTTTGGTTTTTTCATCATTTTCTTGGTCTATTTTCTTTTGGGGCATTTAGGAGAGACTGCAATGGATTTGTCCCGTACAGAACACATTTAATATTTCAAGTACAGTCCTTTAATTGGTGGGTGGCTGAGCATATACTACATCTGCAAATTTGTTCTATGCATTGTGTAAATGTTAATTTTAAAACACTTGTATGTTACACAGTTTAAAATTTTGATATTTAGTTCGGTGCAGATGTAATGCAGAAGCATTTTGAACTCCTTTCCTGCTTCCTTGGCTTCTTCTGGTGTCTCAGTGTAAGTTGCAGTGTGTGGGCATTGATTTATCATCAATCTTGAGGACTCATGACTCTTTTTCAGTAGGCTATCAGCTTGGAATCACTGGCAGAATTGGTGAGATGTTAGCATTATGCAGTGCAGCCAGTTTTTCTAATTTAGATAATTGGAAAATATTCATTAGGGAGCAATATTACTGTACATCACCAGTATTTGATGGCCACAAAAATATATACTCATAAGCCTTCGATAACAAGTGCAATTAGGAATCGATTAACAAATGGAGATCGCAATTTAGGAAGCACTTCTTAAAAGAGGCTTGTCACTTTTGGAACACTAGGATTTAGAGAAACGCTCTTTAACACATTACTCTTAGCACCTTCTTTTGAAAATTACTCTCACTTTAGCAAATACTCGAAGAAGCAAGCAGGGTGAGTATCCCAACCAATAGACAGGAGCCTAAGTAATTACGGAAGTTTTCAAAAGGAAATCTGGTGGAACCAGAAGCAAATCATTCATGATTACTTCAGCCCTGGCCCATAACAACAATTCCTAAATCTTTCAACAACTATTGCAGTCCAATATTAACTAGCCTCCTTGGAACCTACCTGAGGTTATCTTAAACGACTCCAACTTATCCACCCACATACGGCGTCACATATTTGATACTCGAGTAATCTAGAATATCGAAGAATACAGTTTTTAGAACATTTTCCCACATCATGCAAGTAGGAGGTGCAGTTTTGCGTCCTGCTCACCAGAGGACATCACTGCCAGTCACGTCTCTACAAAAGTGGTAGTCCTGGTTACAACATGCCTTTATTGGTTACTAGTTGGAGCACCCGGGTTTCACTTTCCCCCCTCTCCCTCCCCTTTCCTCCAATCACCTATCTTTCCCCCATCTCGTCTCTTCTGTGCCCTCACTCATAAGAACAAGGTAACTGCAGAAGGCCTATTGGCCCATACGAGGCAGCTCCTATCTATAACCACTCAATCCCACTGATAAACATGTCCAACCCACGCTTGAAACAATCGAGGAACCCAACCTCCACGTTACGCGGTAATTGGTTCTACAAATCAACAACCCTGTTACCGAACCAGTATTTACCCAAGTCTTTCCTAAATCTAAACTTATCCAATTTATACCCATTGTTTCGTGTTCTGTCTTGTGTTGATACTTTTAATACACCACCATAAGCATCAGTTCACACTCCTCCTTTGATGGTGTGAACTGATGCTTATAACCTGTCGGAAGAACAAAGACTAGGTTTAGGTCAAAGACAGGGCAGCACTGACCCAGATAATCAAAGGGTCAGTGTACACAGCCGACCAGTCGCTGTCAGACTATTAAGCTGCCAGTTACCCCTTGACCATCATGCAAGGCGGACGTGGCCTGTCCTCAAGACGTGTATGTTTGTGAGTATTATATACATGCATATATTTATTGACTTGTGGTAAATTAATTTCGTTACAAAATGGCTTCGACTAGATCCAAAGACAAGTTGTATCTATTGGTTGCCTAATTATTGACTCCAAATTGCCGTATTTTGAGCCTAGTTTTGCATTTCCACCTGAACAAGGAGCCTCTTGCCAGACTTGCTCATTTCTGATTCAACGTTTGGAGACAATTTGGCAGCGAAATTTAAGTTCAGCAAGACTAGGTTGTTAAAGTTAATTCTTTTTTTTTCAACGTAGACTGGACTGTAGCGTGGTTCATGTGGTGTTGGGTGTAATGGTTCTGTGACAGTCACAGTCGGGTGAGACAGCCCCTTCTCATAAACAAAGCCTAATGCTCATTAACCCACCCGCCAAACCCCTTGTTTATGAATGAAAAACTGCACATTACTCAGCTGATGACGTCCAAACAATACCGGAACAAGTGCTTTGTTGACATCTGTTCAAACCACAATGTTATAAATACTTCACCCACGTACTACAAATACAAATAATCGCCAACAGAACCTAAACACCTAACGTAACCTGCGCCTAGTTATACATAGAATTGTAATGCATAATAATATTAATTTACAAGAACAAACCAATTTTTAATACACTATGTTAAAATTAATGAATGCGTCTGGGGAGGACGGCCGCTGTTTCAGCCAGCCTAATGTTGATTGAGGGATGGGTTCAGTGTAATTAGTCAGGTGAGAATTCTTAGTATAGTTATGAGACAAGAGGTCATTGGATATAATTATGGTTAAATAAGCTATTTCTGGCGAGGTTATACTAACACCCATGGCCGTATTTTTAGAACACTAACCAATCTTGATTCTTGTAACTTAAAATATTGGCTCACGCCTCATGTTGACTCGAACTGTTTTCTGTATTGCTGTTTTCCATCTTCCTGCTCCTAGATTACCGGGCCTTTGATGATGTACTGAATACCGACCTTTTCCCCATTTTTTTGTTTGCCCCTTAATTATTTTCCTGCCCCCCTTTTTTTCCACGGTGGAATTTTGACAAGTATCTCTTGACATTTTTTGCCATCTTCGCCTATATTCCGTGTACATCTGCCCTTCTTCAGGTGCCCTTCTCTCCATTCGTCACTTTCAACTACACCTATTTAATGCTGTCCGCAGCTCAATCCCGCGCTGTGCCTCCTTTGGCACAAGAAAGTACTTTCCTTGGTAATTATTATTATTATCATCATTGAGAAAATCCACTTGGGCAATGAGGTGGACGCGAACCTACGACCTTGGCATTGCCAAGCCACATACTCTACCACTAGACCAGCGATGACTTGTAAATACCTTACAACCGGATTTCTACTGAAATCACAAAGTTTGGAGGCCCCTACTGAAGCCAGTCCAGGTTTTACATATGACCCACAAGCACTCGAGTGGAAGGGCAAAGTGATCCTACACCTTATCATTAATCTGGACTGTGTTGGAGGTGGTGTTACTGTGCAGTCTGTGAATATACCCGACACACACTGACGTGCACCAGAATCTTTCATCTATATCTATAAACGGAATGTTTGTTTAGCTGTCCAAGGTTGGAGGGGCCAGACGCTTGAAGGGGTAGCCTCGCCAAATTTTTCAAGATGACAAATGATCGGGTTGAAAATGTCATAGGGCAGTCGAAGCTGGTCCCAGTGCCCCTCCCTCCCCCCCTTTTGTTTTTTTTGTTTTTTAAGAAGGATCAGTTTCTATTCCAAATTCCAGTAACCTATAAAATCTGAAAATGGGTTTCATTTGCAGAGTTTTCAACAGTTTTTAGGTGGTCATATACCAAATCACAACGTTTTAAAAACGGTGTTACAATTTTGTTACAGCGTTGCATGAAAGCACCAATTGCAAAAATAACGTTGTGGTAATATTGTGTGGTTATTGGGACTATTCTGAGAAAAACGGGAGGGAGGAAACGGGAGATGTTGCTGGGAAGGGAAGAAGAGGGAGGAGAAAGTTGTTGTTGTTGTTATAGATTAAGCTACTCGGAACAAGTTTCAAGTAGCACGGGCTATGGTGAGCCCGTAACTTACCTGGCACAGGAGCGGTGCTGTGGAGGAGAAAGTTATTGTTATAGATTCAGCTACTGGGAACAAAAAGTTTCAAGTAGCACGGGCTATGGTGAGCCCGTAAGGAGGAGAAAGTGGGAGAGGGGAGTTAAATTGGAGAGGAGGAGAGGAGAGGGAGGGAAGCGAGGAGAGATTGGTGGAGGTGGGGAGGGGGGAGACCCGGGTACAACCGGGTACCCCATCTCGGAAAACTTCATCCTAAAATTTTGAGTGTCTTAACAGAAAATGAGAATATATGGGGAGGTAAATGTAACGGCACAATTAAGTGTATTTGTGTACTATGTAGACAGTAAGGAATGTACTTATTATATTTAGTATTAAAACGTACTGTCTGATCGGAGGATGCGATGCCCATCTAGTTCTGTTAAAAACAGCCAGCATTGAGGCCGGCAGGGTGCGCCG